TGAGGGGAGTGAGTGCCAATTTAGGAACAGCTTCTGATCCAAACGAGATGCTATGTTTGAAACGTTGTTTTCTCGACGTACCAAGTACTGACAATGGTAATTCTTATCCCTATTCACTCGGGAGAATCTCCTCTATAAAATGGTCTGATTACTTTTTGCATTTTCGCCCCTGAACGAGAGTAAAATGCCAGGAAGTGAAGAACGCACTGAAAAAGTGCCCATTTTCGGGGATATTCGAGTACTTTCCAGAAAAACGGCTTGAACGATTCTCACGAAACTTGGCGTGGGGATGGAGATGGGTTTTCCCCAAAATCTGATGTATGCTTTTCTCTGAAATGAACCTCTTCTCGAAACGGCGGCGGAAAAACTAATTGACGAAAATCCATAGCTCGAAGAAAAAAATTCGCCTGACCTTTGACGTGAGAGTCTCGGCGTTCGGCTTGACTCCATGTTGTAGAGAACTTTCCGGGTTTTGTAATGATGAAAGTTTCAAGGAGATCCGTCCAGTGGTTCGGATGCTATGCTGCCTTCATACATTGCTCTTCGATTGCCATCTACCGGGAACTTTGGACAAGACTTATGGCTTAAGTAAAAGTGATAGGGAGGTAAGAAAGTGCTTTCTGGGTTTTGTGACACCCCCTACATAAGAATTACGGATAAAATTTTGAATCCCAGACCCATCGATTTTCCTTCCCGTACCACCTTAAGAGAACATTTCGTCTGAATGGAACTGAACTTTTGAGATGATTCCCCATCTGAGATGATTCCTTCGCCTCTCCCAGATCGTCTCTGATATATTCCCGTAATGATAAATTATTCCTATGTTGATTCCTTTAATAGGATAATTCCTATATTGGGATTCATCGTCATTACGATCGATGAGAAAATTCTCTCTATTCCTCTGATGGCCGTTATGAGTCATTTTTACCCGACTCGTCCAAAAGCCCAAAATGAAACCCATTTCCGAGTAGTCAACGAATTTTTATTTTATTTATTTGTTCTTATCTAGATCACAAGCGCCATACCATAGGGACTCCAATTTCTCTCTGTACTCTTCCCAGCAACCGATTAATTATGAATTCATTCGTTACACCTGGAACGTAATCGCAGCACAGACGAAGGTCTCATTTTAATCGAGAGGCTTGCAGGAAATGCAGCCGACTTCAAGACTCGCGGTCCGGACCTCCAGGAAAAATATCTGGACATGGAAAAAGGGCTCAATTCCGAATTTGGAGCCGAAATGATAGGCAGGCGTTCACTTCTTTCCTTCGCTGAGGAAATTGCGCCATACCTGAATCTCAAACCATTAAACCAGGCAGTTCACGGGTTAAAAGCACCTGACATTATTCGAGCGCGGATGCTCCTGCCCCCTCTTGCCCCCTCCTGCCCCCTAGAGGTCGTCTTCCGAATGGATTCCTCGCTCACGGCCAGCCTCTTCCAGAAGTTGCTGTGAAGGTCTGAGGAAGCGAGGGGAGGGTGCTTCTTCATCCACCGCCGTTGCTCGTCCACCTCGGTGCAGAAGAGGTATGATTCCAGCGTCGAGCGGTGGTGAGCTGATCGGGCCTTCAGACTTGCGAGGATAGGGAGAGGGATCCGAATTCATTTTTCCAAATTCATTTTTCCGAACTCGTTTGCTTCTCTGATGCCGAACTTACCTCAAAAACGTCGGCGGGGACGGTGTTGCCCCTCTTGGCTATCGCCTCTCCCCGGGAGTCCATTTTGCTCTCCAGCGCCTGAAGTTCGCACGTTTCACGATGGCATAGCGAAAATTTGTGCAAAATGTTTTATTTGATTGATTTGCACGAACCCGAAGGTCATCCAGCTTCTGGGGCCTCACGCCCTTCGGATCTTCCCCGCAATCGGTTGACTCGAGTCCCGACTTGGATTTCTTCAGCTTTTTCTGCGCCCTGCAAAAATTTCGCGCTCATTCATTCGTTCGACCTGATTTCAGATAACTCGGATGACCGACGACCTAACCTCGTGCAACCTCGCTGGACTTCAGCCGTCGCTTCGGCGCCGGTTGCCGCAGCCCACCGCATTCTCAGCTCATTCAACGTCTTTGCGAGGCCCTCCTGCAATGAAACCAACATCTAATTAATTTTTATAAATGCTTGGAACGAGGCTGAAAGGCAATCGAGGGACTGGCCTTTCCCAGTCGGCGCACGAGATCCTCTTTCGACTGCAATTCCCGCTCGAAGTCCCTCCGGAGCCTCTCGGCCAGAATCCCCCAGTCGCGATGAGAAATGACCGCGGCCATCTGCTGCTTCTCGGCGATCCACTGGTCCAATTCCTCGACGCTCAATTCCTCATCCGTCTGAGAAAAAGTATGAATCCTCTTCCGCTTGGCCGCCTTCGCCTTGGCCGTCTCTCGTCGTGCCAGGAAGTGATTTCGACGCCTACGACAGTCACCGATAGCCACCGATAGCCACCGATAGCCACCGATAGTCACCGATCGCCACCGATAGTCACCGATCGCCACCGATAGCCACCGATAGCCACCGATAGCCACCGATAGTCACCGATCGCCACCGATAGCCACCGATACCGACTGAAACTCACTTCTCGGCCTCACGGTGCTCGTCAGGCAGACCGCCAACCACCGTCTCGGTGGGCGCTTTCGCCCACTGATCCTCGGCTGTGCGAGAGCGAAGGTCATCGTGATGGTTGTGGTGCGCTTCTACCTCGTCCATGATTTCCTGGAGCGGAAACGATTAACATACAACGGTATGTTTGCATGCTTATGTCGAGGGTGGCGCAATGGTGGCGCAAGGGTGGTGCAAGGGTGGCGCGCTATGGGGGATTTCATTGTTATGATAGATTATTTCTTGTTTCCTTATTTCCTGGCAAGGGATGGCTGTTAAATTGACAAAAGATGATCGGGAGGAGTTAAGATATTTTCAAATATCATGTGAAGATATGTTCAAATATCATGTGAAGATATGTTCAAATATCATGTGAAGATATGTTCAAATATCATGTGCATACCGCGAATCAAAGTTTTTTCCTCGTAATGGAATACGATTCGAACTTTTACAGTGCTTTACCCAATGGTGGGCGACCAATTTTGCGCCACCCTGTATATGCATTTCCCCCTGCGTATGTCGATCGACCTACCTATTCATGCATTTTGTGGAAACGGTTTAGAAAAATCGCCACCCGTTTTATTTCGAAAAATTTGTCCTGGCTTACTAAGGGCAATCCTTACCAAGGTCGGATCGCTTACCGCCTTCCGCGAACCATCGGCGACTGCTGCTCGAAGAAGACTCGGATCCTCCCCCGCGCCTGCAAGTACAAACAAATCCCCTATAATTCCTAGATAATCCATGAAGTTTTTTTCGGGTTTCCCTCTAGGATAATTTTTTTTTAGGGGTGGCACCTTTTTACTCTTATTTAAAGAAAAACCAAGGGCTTTCACTTTCGATGCAGAAATCTGACGCAAGTTACATGCACGAAGTAATACTTAAGTAATTACTTTTTTTTTATAGGTTTACCTCTTCTGAGAAAATTGTAACCCGATCAATCCGATTTCAGTAACGCGTTATTATATATATATATATATATATATATATATATAGAAATAAATGTTTCAAACCCAAAAAAATAGGCACACGCGC